CCTATTACCTGCTAGAAAGAAAGAGGGAGAGAATGAGGGAGGGAGGGGAAAAAATATGAGCCTTTGTCCTAGTTTTCTTCTTCAGTGTCAGAAACTAGGGTTTTTTGTTTGTTTGTTTGTTTGGTTTGGTTTGGTTTGTTTTAACTTGACCTTCACCTCCTACATCCAGGTAGTAAACAGTTTCTTCTGATTTTAGTATTTTTGCTCTCAGGCCAGTCTTTTCCTCTCCATCTTTGAGACTACTGATTTATTTCAGGTCTTCATTCTATCTTTCCTAGAATACTACAGTAATCTCTACCTTTAACTTTGTATCTCTCCATCTACTTTAATACCACTGACAAAAATATTAAAAACACAAATCTGATCACATCACTCCTCTTCCTATAAATCCCTCAATGCTTCACCATTTCTCACAGAATAAAGTCCAAATAATGTAACATGGTATATAAATGTCTCCATAATAATATCTTTGTTATAAATCAACTATCTGCTTTATATTTCAATGTGATACTACATACTTACATTTGCAGTTAAGTACTCCTAATAATAGATGATAATCATCAAAAATTACTGCACAGTTACACATATATTAACAGGTTATACTGAATTTTCACTGTCTGCTCCTGCCAGTGTCAATCTGTTCAATCATGTTTCAGGTACACTAGCCCACTAAATCACCTTTCAGCCTTGGCAAAGGCACTAAGTTGAAAAGAGAACCACGTCACATTTTGCACTAAGTACTATCTGTATATTCACTCAAACTAGCAACACCTAACATACCTTTATCTGATGAAGGCTGGAAAGCTGAACAAATTAACTTCCCTAATGATTTACTTAAAGATGGTATTAGTATTGTGGTTGGCAAATTCTAAGACAGCTCCCATGATCTCACCCTCCAATATTCATATTCTGTGTGGTCCTTCTTACAATGTATCATAGCAATAGCATAGGACAGAAGTGATGGCATATTTGCAAGATTAGGTTATTAATCTGTGGATTCCATCTTTTTCTTCCTTTTTGCCCCTCAACTGTTCTGAGGGAAGCCAGCAATCACATTTTAAGAACTCTCACCCACATGCAGAAGCATGAAACTTAGACCTTCATCTCTCACCAGTTACAAAAAAAATCAACTCAAAATGGATTAAAGACTAAAACGTAAGACATGATACTACTAGAAGAAAACCCAAGGGAAACATTTCAGAATGCTGGAATGTGCAAGAATTATTTTGATAAGACCCAGAAGCAGGAGAAACAAAAGCAGAAGTGGACAAACTAAAAAGCTTTGGCACAGCAAAGGTAATAATCACCAGAGTAAAGAGGGAATCTAACAGAATGGTAGAAAATATATGTGAGCCACATATCTGACAGGGTTTACTATCCAAAATATATAAAGAACTCAGATAACTCAATAGAAAAAACAAAAAAAAAAACCTCCACAAATAATTAGAGTTAAAAATGGGTAAGAAACCTAACTAGACATTTCTCAAGACACACAAAATTGGCCACCAACATGACAAAAGCTCTACATCATTAGTCATCAAGGAATCATGCTGCAATCACACTGCAAATCAAGAACCACAATAAGATATCACCTTACTCCAGTTAGAATGGCGATTATGAAAAAGACAAAAGACAATAAGTGCTGGTGAACATATGGAGAAAAGGGGATCCTCTCAAATGGGAGGCGGGAATACAAATTGGGACAATCATCTTAGAACACAGAATGGAAGGTAAAATAGAGTCACCACATGGTCCAACATGCTTGCCAAACAGACAAGCATCCGGTCTCATAAACAAATCAATAAAATATGGTCACAATGGAACCCTCCATACAACAATCATATACTAATAAAAACATTTTTTAAAAAAGAAAATATGGTGCATGTACACAATGGAATAATGTCAACCCATAAAAATCTTGTTTTCTGTGACAAAATGGATGGAATTAGAGGTCATTATGTTAAGTGAAATAAGCCAAGCACAGAAAAATAAGTATCACATGATCTCACTTATATGTGGAATCTAAAAAAGTCAATTTCACAGAAGTTCAAAGTAAAACAGAAGCTACCAGACTGAGGAGAGTAAAACAGAGAATGGCATATGGAAAGATTGCTCAATAGGTGCTAAGTTACAGCTAGATAAGAGAAGTAAATGTTGGTTGTTCTGTTGTCCACTAGGACAACTATTTATAATAATATACTGTGTTCAAAAAAAGCTGTAAGAAAGGATTTTGTATGTTTTCATCACAAAGAAACAAGTATTTGAGCAGATATGATTACTCTAATATGAGCAGTGTATGATGTATTTATGTACCAAAACATCACACAGTGCCCCATAAATATGCACAGCTTTTATATATAAATTAAAAATTAGAAAAAAAAAAAAAAACCACTGAGCCCTGTGGTGAGGCTCACAGAGCAAGGAATGGAGGCTTTCCACTATCAGCTCCGAAGGACCTATGGCACGACAACATATCAAGCGAGCAAGTGTGGAAGCAGATTCTCCAGCCCCAGTCAATCCTGTTTTTTTAATTCATTTATTCACATGTGCATACATTGTTTGGGGCCATTCCTCCCTCCTGCCCCCCATCCCCTCCCTCTCCCCTCACCCTACTCCCAGTCAATCCTTGAGATGACTGAGGCCCTAGACAGCAGCTTGATCACAACTTCCTGAAAGACCAGGGCCGAACCACCTGGCTCAGCTGCTCTTAGATCCCTAGTCCACAGAAGCTGTAAGAGATACAGTATTTTGTAGTTTTGTTTCACAACAGAGTCCTCACTGAATGCTATCCTACTGGAAATAACTTAAGCTAGCACAGTTTGTAATGTCTTCACTGATGTCAAAAAACAATGGCCCTAGGTTATTCTACAGTGGCTATGGCCCTCTACCATTACATCTTGCCTCAAAGTTGGGGCCACAGTGCTCCTTTCTTAGTTCCTCTACCACCATTACACCACTAGATACACACCTAATGAGGAATTAAGAATTATTTTTCCTATTCTTTTCCACCCCACTAATTTTCTCTCCCCATCACGGTAGGTGCTTAAAGAAGGGTAGCAGAGCTTTTAAATCAGGAGATAGCTTATAGCAGCGAGTGGAGGAGGAGGGAAGAAGAGAGTAGTTGCATGTAGCAAGGTAGCATGATTAACTTAGAAGGCAGGAGAGTTAGGCAGGGTCAAAGCCAGAAGCAGTGTGCAGAAGAGAGGGCTGGGGAGGGTGAGCTTTGGGTCCCTGACATCTGTTGGGTGGCAGCAAAAGGCAGAGATTTAGACTAGCCAAACTGGGTAGTTGTTACCTTTGTAACTCCACCTGCCAGGAAAGAAAGCACAAGGTTTTATGAAAATAAGGACCACCTCCTTGTCCAAACTATCTTCTCCCATCTGCCATGAATAAATGTCCAGAAAAATCATCAAAGTGGCATTTCTCAAGCTGGAGTAACACATTACATTTTAAAAGGAAAAAAAAATAACCATAATATATTTTGGTATATGGTATTTGTGAAAGGGAAGAGTGAGAAGGGATATGACTTGTGCTCCTCCGGTTACTTAAAGTCTGGTATACACACTGTTGGTGTGATTACAGAGCAAGTTGGTTTCCTAAGAAAGAACATAATGGACAGTTATGGGTTCAGTAGTAAATTAAACAGAAGATGCTAACTGTAAGAAATGATTTGTTAAGAGAACAGCAATAGCCCAAGAATGCAGTGTAATAAAATTGAGTCCCAACCCCTAACTATACACCGTTTCCTTCTCTTAAGATTATCACTTGGTAAATAAGCCTGTTCCTTACTAGACAAGAATCATCATATACAGGATCTGGAGCTTTTATTATATTGGGACTTCCTCTACACATCAAGTATGACTTTATAATTTTGTCCCATAACTCAAATAATGTGATTTTTAAGACTGGAAACACAGTGAATCAATATAAATAACATGGAACAGATTTTTTTACCTTCTAAGAATTTTACTAGCTTAGCTGGGTGCCTGTGGCTCATGCCTGTGATCCCAGCTACTTAGGAGGCTGGCATCAGGAGGATTGTGATTTGAGGCTTGCCCAGACAAATAGCTTACAAGACCCTAACTCCAAAATAACGAGAGAAAAATGGACTGGAGGTGTGTCTCAGGCAGTGGAGTACCTGCTTTGCAAGTACAAAGCCTTGAATTCAAACTCCAGTTACCAAAAAATATAGTTTTACTGACTTTATCAAAATGATTCATGCTTACTGTTAAAATTAAATACTAAACATTTTTGAAAAGTCAAATCATTGAAATCTAACTTGGATAATCACTCTGCATATTCTTTATACACACAGACATCTCTTGAGAGACATACCTCCAATCATATGCTCAACTTGACATAGCATGCATGCCATTCTGTGACTTGTCCATCACTTACTGTGACATCTGTCTAAATGTAAAAGTCGTCACTGTCAGTGGCTGTATCACATTCCAGTGCTGGGTATGGTCACCAAAATGGATTTGACCAGTCTTGTTCCCAAACACATTAAGGCTTTCATAGCTCTTACTACTTTATAAGTATGTTTCATCCCACGCACCTAACCGCCCACATTTGCACTCTGTGGGTAAATTCACTGCAGTATGATTACTGAGTCAGTGTAAGCATTTTAGCGTGTGTATGTGTGTGTTAGTGTACGAGTCTTCAAAGAGTGCAAGACAATGTGCGTTTTTTGTTTTGTTTTTTTTGGTGGGACTGTGGTTTTGAACTCAGAGCTTCATGCTTGCAAAGTAGGCACTCTGCCTACCTCTGGTCCATTTCCCTCTACTTATTTTTGGAGATGGGGTCTCAAGAAGTATTTGCCTAGGCTGGCCACAAACTGGCATCATCACCAGCACCTGGCTGACAATGTGCTTTTAAAGAGCATCTAGAGAACCTACCTTTCACATTTGTTTAAAAACAGTAGTTAAAAATAGGAGTGTAAGGGCGCATAATATTCCAATACTACTTAATGCGTTTCCTCTTTATAAAACAGGTACAAAATGGCAAAAGCCCCAGGACCCAGGGCCGTATCTGCAGGCCCTGAAGGGTGGGAGCCGCCAGATAATGATCCTGGGGCCCAGAACCAACCTCCTCCCCGCCCCCGTGAAACCCGTGCTGAAGTGCACACAAGTGAGCGCACAGCCCACCGCACCACGCCACTAACTCTGCAGGTGTTCAGAAACACAGCTAGCCTAACCTAGCACAACAGGACATCTCTGGATAGTAGTGTAGTCCCGACTTTTATTTACTAATTTGTTTATTTTCTAAATTTGTTTTGATTCATGTTACTTTTACAGCAAGTAGCAAACACTAGTTATCAAAAAAATAAATACTGCTGAATATATACATGCACACAGTATGTTCTAACAGTGCTTTCTTTGGATTTACATAAATTTTAAATCACCAAAAACATGATTTTAAACATTAATATTAGATGTAGCTAATTTCTTAAGATGAACTATGTGGCTAGTCACTACCTAAGTATCTTCCTTCACACCACTGTCAAAGAGCACCAGAAGCCTTGAGGTTAAAGTGAAATGTGGTCAGGCAGTGGGTTACTTGACCTTGGGCAAGTCCAGGAAATGCTTTATTTCCAACCATGTAAAATGAGAAGGCTGGACTAGATGACCTCTAAAGTTTATGGACAGTTCTTTACAAAGTGCATGTTTATACTTTCTTATGATACACTTAGTGCATCAGAATCCTTCATGTGCCAGAAAACTTACCTGCTAGATCTCAGAGCTTAGAAGCAAAAAGCACTAGCCTGGTTAAGCATGGCTCAGGTACGGACTCAGAACAAAAAGAGGCTCTAAAGTTTGTGGCTGAAGCAGCAGTTATTTAAAGAGAGATATTCTTTCTCCTCATCTAACTTCTAACTCCAGGAGGTTAGTCGTAACTCCACTCTTCACTGCTGGGGAATGATCGTCACATCCCTGATGAAACACTATCCCCAGGCCTCACCAAGCCAACATGACACACATGACAGAACCTCAGAGAGTGAAAGCATCTACTTACAACTTTAAAAGGAAGATGCACTGTCTAAACTGTGAAAGGGGATGGTCACATGAGAATACAGATTGAGAAAGAATAAAGAATTCCAAGACTAGTAAAGATGCTGTCCCATTATAATAGTCTCCACAGTACAATACTGTTTTACTACGGATGGTGAAAGAATAGTTAATACAGAACTAATGTAGGAAAAGCTAATAATAGAGCTCTGGACAGTCCATAGCAGAAAGTTACAAGCTTTAATGGGGATGGTGGTAGCAAAGGGGACAAAAAAGCAAAAGGATTCAAAAAAGATTTCCTGGTCTAAAAAAAGCACATTTTGCCTTGACCAGCAACATTGACGGGAAACTAGTCAGGATGCAAATTACTGGGCGACCCTCCAGACAAGGAATCAGAAAGTATGGGGGCTTGATTTTAACAAGAGCTCCAGGTTCTTCTAAAACCTGCACTAGTCTAAAAAATTTGGGCTATCGCTTAAGGGAGAAAAGGGAAGCATCAAAGGACAGGTAGCTGACAGCTCCGCAAGTGCTCCCTGGTTCAGTCAGCTGTCTAGCCTGGGTTTACAGCTTTCGACATCACTTGCTGTGCAGAAAGCTCTTTGCTAGTGGAGTTAGTTGTCACACTAGTCTTTGGCTCTCTCAGCAAGCAATATCCTTCAGGATAAAGACTATTCTAGAGAGTCCATGCCCTATTGCCTGTACTTCCTTTAAAACACGGGGTGCTTGTGGGCAGGTTTGAGGATGGAGGTGGAGAAGGAGAATCTGTGAAGATACAGCAGCAAGGTGGCGTTGAGTGAAGAAAGGAAACCATGTGGATGAGATAATGACCTCAAGGACCATCTAACATAATATGAAGGAAGAACGTTTATTTTGCATTTTAGTATGAAAGAATCCCTCCCTAAAAATTCCACTTGGTGTTTGATGGTCTTGTCAGAACTATACCTACCATTAAACAACCATTTTTATTATTCAGCAGATGGCAAGCCAAAGCTGTGTATATGGTTTTCTAAATACAACTAAAAATAAAGTATTATCACATGGTTTGGTTGGTGATTAATGGCAAGAGGACTATTTCTTTTCTGGTAGGAGGTTACATTTATAGACCACATGTATCCCAAAAACCGAAACATGGCTAGCTATTTTGGTTTAATTTACTTAATTTATGCACTGGCTTACACTTGGAAGCGTATTATATTTAGCATTTTCTATTGCTCACAAAATAGCACAACTTCCAACATGGGGATGATTAAGGATCCAGATTTCACTGTAACATTTAAAAAAATCTAAAAAAAAAAAAATTCTCAAGGTCTCATTTTTAAGGAATTCATGGAAAGCAAAGAACTGCTTAAAAATCCTTCATGTATACTAGGACTAGAGGTTCTAAATAACAGTCTTTGGTATAGACAAGTAATTTGCCTATCCTTAGAGTATCATTGTCTAGGTCGAATTCAAAACCTCATTTAATATAATTATTGTAATCCCAGCTACTGGGGAGGTGGAGATGGGAAGAACTGTGGTTTGAAGCAGTCCAGGCAAAAAGTTAGATGCTATCTCAACAAACAAGCCAAACATGGTAGGTTATGCCTATAATCCCAGCTATGCAGGAGGTGTAGGTAGGAGAAACAGGGTCTGAGGCCCGCTCTGGGCAAAAAGCAGTAGACCCTATCCAAAAAATATCTGAAAAGCAAAAAAGGGTTCTAGGAGATGGGCCAAGTGGCAAAGCACATGCCTAGCAAGCCTGAGGCTCTGAGTTCAAACCCCAAGACCACCAAATAAAAATAAGACAAAAAATTGCAGCCTAATTTATTCTTGAAAAAATTTTATATAATCTAAGTTACAAAATAGCTTGTTACATAAAATTATCTGGTCTATCATAATGTAATTTTTTAGACACAAAAGGAAACTTGGGTTTGCAAGAAGCATCTAAATGCTCTCAAATGATACATATATGTCAGTATTAATTGAAAGACTCTTTGTAAAATGGTCATATATTGAGTTTAAAACACATTCTTTATGAGCATTATAACTACTAAATTTAATCTTAATTATGAATTTTCAAAAAAAAGAGTAATCACAAAAAATAAACCCTGAACTCTGTTAACTCATCACTTAAGGGCGCTGCTTCTCTAAGAAACAAGAGTTCCACTGTGATGCCTGTAATCCTGGCTACTTGGAAGGCTGAGATCAAAGGATTATGGGTTGAGGCCAGCCTGAGCAAATAATTTTTGAGATCCTATCTCCAAAATAATCACAGCAAAATAGACTGGAGGTGTGGCTCAAGCGGCAGAGCACCTGCTTTGCAAGTGTGAAGCCCTGAGTTCAAGACCCCAATCCCCCTCCCCAACACACACACAAAAAAGAATTCCAGTACAGAGACTGATTTTAGTAGAGATTAGCTTCTATGGTCTAGTCCCATATTTAAATGAATACAACTAAGTTTCAGAAAAAAACAGGAAAAGCCAGTACTTAACAGCAGTACTTCTCAGTCTTTGCTATGTTACACTGCATTATGAACCTTTAAGAAAGAGGATACAGAAAATAATTTTCTAAACATAGTCGTAACTATTTTTTTCACGGGAAATCTCTTAGAACTAATTATGTATAGAACATAGTGTGGGAATGAAGCTTACCCATGTGGAAATGACAACATGTTACACTTACATGTGTTAATCTCAAGGTTTAAAGGGGTCCGTGTTAGTTGTTTAGGCCCAACCCTCATTTATGATCCTTTTTGTTTGTACCAATTGGTCTCTGACTAACCCAATCTACCTACTCACCTTAAAAGTATGAGTTTCCAGCTTTCTTTACACAGAAAGGTAGTCACCTGTACTATTTATTAGGTTTAACCCATGTGCACTTCAGTATCTTTCTTGTTCATAAAGATTGATGGCAGAAGCAAGTCATCATTTCAGGAACTTGAAGTGAAAATAAAAAACTGAATGTAATACAATGAATGTATTGTCTCTGTTCTTTTTCTAAGCTTCAAATGGTAAGAATACAACATAGGCACAAAGTATTTCCACTATCTACATAATGTTTTAACATAACGTGAGAGTTTCTAAATTAAAAATTAACTAATTTTTAAAGTAGCTATACTTCAGGAACACTGCTCCCACTATGAAATCCTACTCCCCAGAAATGGGCCCATCTGATTAGTACAACCAATCTGCCAGCTGGATGGATCCCAAGTAAATTTCAAACCAGCACTTGGCAAAATATCCCCATACCCAGCATTCTACATGGAACACAAAGACTCACTGTAGGACTGTTCTGAGAACCAAACAATTGTATAGTAACTTGAATGTATGTAGTTTATCCTCTTTATATTAATTATGTTTGCTAGATGAGCAATTTAAATAATACTTCAAATGCTATGTTTTAATTCTGTATGTATCTATTGTGCTGCTATTAATCTGTTGGCATCCAGCACTGGATTAGGAAAGCCTGCCATCTGGTAGTTATAGCAACCCTTCACTAACTTGGTCAGAAGGTGAAGACCACAAGATTCCCAGATATGCAAACCAAGTTTATTATATGAATATATCAAAAATCTTCAGGGCTTCTCACTCAAATATCATGCGTATACACATTATATAACTGACCTACAAAAGCCAGTTTTAAAGGGGTTAAAGGGATGAATGACTAAATCAAATAAGTAATTAGGTCCACATTCCCCTCACCCACAAGGACACCACTGTCTCTTTTATGATGCCTAGGATGAGAGCCAAATTGGCCCTATTTAAATTGGTCACTTAATTTAACTCTCACTTGTCTTATCATAATGCGGGCGGTTCTTGGGGACACAGTGTTTCCTCCCAAAGTTTCAGGTAGGCAACACTACAGAAAAGGAGTAAATAACTAACAGTATAAAAACAATAATAACATGTACAGCAGAAGAGCATAAACAAAGTGTTTTCAAACTTCTTGTGATCTTACTTAATCATGAAGGAAAGGCTATGTAGGGAAGACACTGAGGATCCCAGCTTCTATAATTTCCTAAGGTTACACAGTTAGAATAATGGTTGAGTTAGGAAACCTGAATCCTCACCACCTAGTTAGAAATTTAATTTTCTTTCTAGTATATCAGTTTCTTTCCTGAAATGATAGTTTCTCACAGCTTAT